AACAGGTGCCTTACTAGTAGTAACAAGAAGCTACTAGGAACAAGTGCCAACACCAATCCCGTGGCTGTCGCTCAAGAGACATCCGACAGTTCCGCAGACTTGTCCAACGGTCCACGCCAGGTGCGGCTTCCAACGTCGCTCCGGATGCCGGTCCATGGTGTTGAAATATTGGAAGCCAGGCGCAGTGGCCAAGCCACTGATGGCCTCACAAGTTGACAAAAAAGGATCAAACTCGTGTTGTCTGCAAGACAGTCTGCATATTGATGTCCAATTGATTCTATTGGCTTAAGCCACAACTGTATGTATGTAATAGAAGAAACACAACTGGCTGAGAAGCTCACTCCCACGAAGCACAAGAAGAACTCGGAAAACTGGAAATAGCTCACCAACATGATCCCCGCGGTGGAACTCAAATTGGCCACCACATGGGTGGCCACAGTGGCTGCTTCTCCCGTCAAGCTGTAGCACCACATCTCCGTGCACACGATCTGTCCTGCGAAGCGCCAAGTGAGGCGCACGAAGAGAGACCCTCCAGGAAGGAAACCTAGGGGGCAAGGACGCTACTAGGGGCTCCTGGCCTTACTACTAGGAGCAAGGACGCTTCTAGGGCTGGCCTTACTACTAGGAGCAAGAACGCTACCAATACGAATGGCCTCCAACCTAGTAGCAATGACCTCCAACCTAAGAGTAGGTGAGGCCTGTTTGTTAGGGGGTGGCCTTCTGAGATTCACACAAGCATGTTCTTTTCAGGGAGATGTCCTGACACCCTGGCAGCTTGAAATTCAAACCTTGTCAATTATATATGGCCTCTTTTGATCTCTTTTGTGTATCTGTCCATACGCCATACTGGACGTTCCTTCATGAGTTTATTGCAAAACCAATCCGGGCTTCACGGGCCCCAACCTGTGAGCGACCAGCTCAAAGATGAAAGTAGGTTCCGAGCCCATGGCACTTTCCCAACGGTCGCATCTTGCTCAAAAGCTATCGACAAGTAGAGCTTCGAGACCTGCAAGCTGAAGTGGCCAAGGTGTCCTGAAACTTTCTTTCTTCGTTTCTGGTCAAATACTCGTAATATCTTGTTATCACCCAGACAAAAGCCAGACATCAGGATAAGTAGAGGAATCTGCATGTTTATTCGTAGTATCGGACGGCACCTGCCATACCAGCTGTATCAGCATCGCTAGGCGGACGAAGCGCCATGAAAAGCCTCAGAAAGACATTTTAGTGAGCCAAACCGGTGTCTGGAGTCTCCCTGGAGAGTTCGTCCAACCTACTAGCAATGCCCTCCAACCTAATAGCGATCGCCTCCAACCTAGCAGAGAAATGTCTAAATGAATCTCAACCCACATTTCATATCGCGACTCGTCTACCCATCCGCCAGATGATCCGCTTGTCGCGACTGCTGCTTGGCAACTGCCGAACGCGTTGATCTCGGTGTTTCGAACCTCAACCGCCAGGTTCTTGGCTGTGTCTTCGTCCACATCCAACACGACCTCTCCAGACAGGAGCAAAGGGCATCGCTAGTAGGAGCAAGGACGCTACTAGGGGCTCTTGGCATCGCTAGTAGTAACAAGAAGCTACTAGTAGCTCCTGGCCATACTACTAGGAGCAAAGGAAGCTACGAACGGAACAAAGGCACCCACCTCTCCAGACATGCTCACGAGGACGTTCCCCTCCGCGTCGGACAAAGACACATGCCTCTTCTTCCCATCCACGCCCGCATTGATGCTGAGACGATGACCCTCTTCAAGTTCAACGCCATCTGGGCCTAAAGTACTCGGGGCAAACAAAGCTCTCGCAATGAAGCTTCGCTACTCACGTTTGGTGCGACCTGAAATCCTCATCCGCAAGATTCTGTGGGCGTGTTGTATGCTTTCCCACTGTCTCGAGGAAGACTGATATCAAAACGTTCAGTCTTCGCTCAAAGGGCAAGGTGGCAAGGAAGTGATGTCGAAGTCCTCACAAAATCTGTCAAACCTGCGAAGCCATCCATGGCCATGCGGCCATGCCATCTTCCCCCTAGATCAATGGCTATGCGGCTAAAAAAAACAACTGTCTCATTTTGTCAGAGTGGCCGTTCTTGGTCCAAAAGGTTCGACGTCTTCCCTGCAATCTCTGCGCGAAGTTGGAGACCTGCATCTTCGAAGAGGGTGGCTGCCAGGTAAAGTAGTCGAAGCTGCTGCCGTCCTGCGGCGGTGCTCTTGGAGCGACGGAAGCTCCAAAAGCACGGCCCAACCACACCTATTTTCATCCTTTCTCTTTCCAGGAGCGCCCCTAGTAGCGTCCTTGCTCCTAGTAGCGATGGCCTCCACCTAATAGCCACCTTGCTACTAGTAGCTTCCTTTGCTCCTAGTATGGCCAGGAGGCCCTAATAGTCTCCTTCCTTTTCCACCTCATTTCGGCCACAAGAACTGGTCGACGGCACTGCGACCGTCGATCGTCCTCGATGGAATGCTGCGAGATTCTTGGATCGCCCGGCCCTTGGGTCTGAAAATGCGCCAAGCGCCCCCCAGCAGCCAAGCGCCGCTTGGCCAGGATTTCATCCGCCGCACCACCATCACCAATGATGATGAGGCAGTGATCCTACTGCGTTATGCAAGCTGGAAAGGCACCTCTCAGTGTAATGTCAATAGTATATTTCAGCTTCAAACAAATTGGCAATTGTTATAAGGAGGACCCAAACTGTAGCCTTTTCTGCTTAGAAATAGTAACAAGAAGCTATTAGGTTGGAGGCCATCGCTAGTAACTTGGAGGCCAGTACTACTAATTCACATAAGGTTGAAGGCTAGTAGGTTGGATTCTCGACCTCCCACACGGTGGACCTGTCCTTGAACCTCTGAGCGCTCAAGGCCATGGCTCGCCGTCGCGTCGCTTCGGCTTCGGTCGCCCCGGCTGCAAGCGGAGCAAGCAGAGTGGGGCCGAGACTAGTAGCTTCTTGTTCCTAGTAGTAAGGCCAGGAGCCCCTAGTAGCATCCTTGGCCATCTGGTAGGAGCCTTTTGACGTTTTTTCCAGTAGCCTGGAAGGCATTCAAACACCCAGGGTATGTCCTTTTCCATAAAGGAGCTCCTAGTAGCTTCTTGTTACTACTAGCTTCTTGTTCCTAATAGCTTCTTGTTACTACTAGTAAGGCACTTGTTACTACTAGCGATGCACTTGTTACTACCAGCTTCTTGTTCCTAATAGCTTCTTGTTAATACTAGTAAGGCACTTGTTACTACTAGCGATGCACTTGTTACTACTA